AAGCCAGCGTTGGCATCACTGTGCATGGCGATGAAGGGCAGGGTAAGAGATCACGAAGTGCGCTTGTTATCTCTTGGTCAAGTATTGGTGTGGGCAAGAAGTCTGTGCAGAACCGATTTCCTTTTGCGGTGCCACACACACGCTTCAACATAGTTGTTTGCTGTCTCTTGTTTTACACCCCTGTCGAAGAACAAAGAAAACTTAGTGTGCGCACGCGGCTGGTGCCCGCGTGTGCCACAGCGCTCAGGTCATGAGATCCTGCAACTATGCCTACGAGAATGGATGCAACATCACACTCAAAGCACTTCAACAAGAACTTGTAAGGCTTGTTGTCGTGTTGCGTGTGGTGTGCGCCTGATTCCAAAAAGTGATCGATATTATTGAAAAATCATACATGGTTCCGTGCTGCGCAGGAGCTTGAGCCTTTGCGCCCTGGATCAGCCAAGCCCTTTGAGCCTCATATATGTCGCAGGCAAAGGCGATTGGAAATGGAAACGTGAGTGCCAACAAGGCGGTGGGGTCACAACATACTGGGCACGTGTGCCGACGGTGTTTGCGCGGGGGCCCTGAAAAGCCTTGGTTTGACGTTGCCCACGAGCGTTTCAACAATGCTGTAGACATACAATCTGCCATCTCCACCAGCTCTTCACAAAACATTACTTGTGGAACTTTTTGCTTTTTTTCTTTTTGGGGGGAGCGCAGGGAAGAGTTCCAAAGTTTTTGCTCACACCCGCCCGAGGTTGTGGGCCAATTCCATTAAGAAGCCTTTTCGCCTGGCACGAGACGATGGAGTCCGTGGATTTACTCCACACTGTTTGGATTGGTGTGGCAAGAGATGCAATTGGTTCGTTTTTGATGGACCTAGCAGAGCACTCGCCATGCACACAAGATTTAGCTTCCTGGGACGAACGGCTTTTGTGGGTCAGCAACGACGCACGGTCTTGGCTTAAACGACGCAAGCTGGCCTCATCGCTGGTGGATGAATGGTGTTCCTTAACTTCTTTTACTCACACAGTGTTTGGCATGGCTCGATGTGGGGTTCCACCAGTTCTTAGGCTTGACAAAGCTCGGAGTTGAAGCTGTGAGTCTGGATTTTCCGGTGGGAAGTTCGCATGGGTATACCAATCGGGTTGTGCCGCTTGGCTATGCATGTATGTGTTTCTCCAATGCTTATATAGCAGTTTATATTTTGTCTGGCAAGCACTGGCAAAGCGTGTCAGGCCTGCCTATTTGGCCAGCCAGCCGCTTCAAGGCATCTTTGCCAAGACTCTCATCAATTTTGTTTTTAGTTTCGCTCACCGCGCAACCACCGAACCGCCGCTTTAATTTTGTTTTAAGTGGGTGTGTATGTGAAGCCACGCAAGGATTGTGTGGCTTCAGGTGCGCGCAAGCTGTCCTTGCAGGCGGTGTGCGCATGGGCACTGCACGACTTCGGAGTCAGGCTTGACCGTGCACCGATGTGGTTGAGTGAGCAGTGTGCGCAAGAAATTTGCGAAGTCGGTAGGTTGTACCTTGAGACATACGCATGCCTTGCTGAGCGAGCGTTGTTTCAAGACCGGAAACCTTTATACAAGGTACGTCCCAAATTCCACAGTCTGCACTGCGAGTGCATTCTCAAGATCCGTGCAGGGTCTCGATTGAACCCTCGTTTCACGTCGTGCTTCAACGACGAAGACTTATCGGAAAATCGCGCAGCGTGGGGAAATCAACTCATGTTCTTACTATGGCGCGCAGAGTCTTGGAAAGACTCCTGCTGCAAACGAACGCTTGGCTGGCTGGCCGTGGGAAAAACGCAGGTGGCCTTTGCGCGCAAGTGCGCAGCGCTCATCCTTCGTTTTTCCACGTACATATATAATCATCCTGGAGTAGATAGAAGATGTCATTTTTCAAAAAAAATTGGGTCAAGGCCGAAACATAGATAGAATATGGATCTGACGCCAAAAAATGTGTTCAAAAAATGTGACCTCAAACAATCGCCGAGCGCGCCCCCCTTTTCTACTTGTGTTTCCCTTTCCCTGTTCACTGTACGAGGAAGTGGCCGACCCTCACTCATCAGCAAAGACCGACCCTCACACTAGCAAATGTCTGCACCGTCATCATGGCACGAACCCTTGGCCCATGCCGCTTTAGGTGCGGAGCCTTCAAATGCATCCACAATGTCTGGGTGGATGTCTGCGAATTCCTGCTCATTTTCCGACAGCTCATTCTCATCATCTCCCTGGTTCTCTTCTGGATCTGCTGGCATTTCTGTCGGCTCATGGTCTGGTTTCACATGCTCATGCAATTCAGTAACAAAGGCAGGAGCCTCTGCAACTTCAAATTCTTTGACAAAGAGGTGGAAGTATGGACCGGCATTGAACCTGACCCCTAAATGTGCAGGGTCTAGGTCCATCCGAAGCTCCACAACAATGGAGTTCTTCAAGGAGGATGCAGTGGCTTTGCTGGGACGGGGGATGTGTGTTTTCAACACGGTGTCAAAAACCACCTTCCTGAACGGGTTTTTGAGGAAGGCATCATAGGCTTTCTGGTCTTTCGGTGCCAAAGCTCTACCAAGCCTCGCCCGTTTTGCCACAGCGCCGTCCCACTTCTTGCGGAGCTCCATCCACTGAGCCATTGTGATCTGGATGGGGTTCACAAAGTACCGTGGAAGCTGAATTGGCTCGGGATCCTCCGTTTTGACATACCAGCAAGTGATTCGCTCACCTTTCAAAGGAACCTGTGCCCTTTGCCACGCAAGCTTGTAAGAGCCTTGATTTTACATTGGCCACAAAACAGTTTGCGAGTCTGTCGGGGATAATATAATGTTCATAAATCCAGAACAGTTCAAAGCAATATATCAACACATAGATAGAATATTTAGCCACACAAAAATAGTATTGGAAGCAGAGAGGGAGCAAAAAGAAGGGGAGGATTGAAGCCCCAGTGTATTTTAAGTACAGTGAGCGAAGACATAGATAGAATGCCAAACAGGGTGCGTCTGTCTAACACCACAAAAAAATCACAAACTAACACCGCACAAACTAACACCGCACACACACACATTCTATCTATGGGTCTACCCAAGCCCTAAATAAAAGGACACATGTTACATCATAATCATACTTGAGTTGAATGGCCAGCATCAAGGATAGGAGCCTCATTCATCCGAAGGAGTTTGCCGTAGCTCCCGCGTGCCTGCTTCATAGCCTCTTCCAATGCAGCCATATCTCCTGCAGGAAAAATCACGCCCTTTGGTATTCTTTGGTCGCCCTTCACGAAATACTATGCCTCACTTTACCATATCACCCTCCACCACATTCCTCCACCTACCAGATGGACTGAGAAACAGAGGAAGCAACTGAACAACAAACACCCTCACCTCCAAAGTGCCAGGCAGCAGCCAACTCCGGTTCAAGGTAGCCTCTGCTCATCCATGCCCAGAGAATGGTTTTTCCTCCATTCATGTCTGAGATTTGTTGCAGAGCCCACGCATCTGCTCTCAGGGAGCATTGGATCGGACAATTTATCAAAGGTATCCCTGAAGCCGCGGACTCAAACTCTTTCATGTCATAGGCATAGAGGGGGTTGAGCGGGAGGTGCATACTGGCACGCGTATACGCGGAGCGCAACTGATGAAAGTGTCCATGAAATGCATCGTTCGGGCTTGAGGACAAGCCCCAGCCCCCTGGCACCTGTACATCGGCATCAGGGTCACACCCGACAAGCAGCACATTTTGTTGCCGGGCCCATTGCTTTTCGCAGATCGAGATATGTACGAGAAAGGTGCGACGTGCACCTATCGCACACGAGGAGGGCTCGCTGAGACACGTCAAAGCTTCCAATTGCTGCTCTTCTTTTCCTCAACTCAATGGTCATGGCCTCGAAAAACTTTATGGTTGTTTGGCCAGTCCACATATGAGAATCTGATCCGCTGTTCTCAATGACAATGCGACCTTCAAATTCCTGGTTCAGGCGAGCCAGTTCATGTGGGTCAAGGGTACCGTCGGGTATAGTCACATAGGCAATGCCAACATCGCCAGTAATCCAAGATGTTGTTGTTGTTGTCCTGGGAGTCCTGGGGGGCTGCTAATTTCACAAGGAAAATGCATCAACTTCAACTGTTGTTCTCTTGCAAGTGTCATTGAACAAATAAAAGTTGGGCATCCAACATTTCGCACAAATTCTATCTATGAGTTTGTCCATGCATGGACTATCGAGAAAGGACTGCTCCAATCCAATCATTGCATTAAAACTTACTTTGGTTGCTCAAATGTCTTGAACCGCTTGTGGTCAGACACTTATCGCCATTTCACAAACCATAACCTTTTTGCTGATATTCTATCTATGAGAGCCACCATGGGTAAAGCCTTTTTCTGCACACAATGGCCAATGCCCCACGAGTCACCTTCTATATTAGCTAGCCTTTTTGGCTTCTTTCACCTGACAACAGGCACATTCACGCAAAGCCCGGACTGAGCTCTGCCTGATCCGCGCGCAATCTCGGTAGAGATGAAAGCACTCCCCTGAAGGAGTTACATACACTTCCCTAGTCTGTCTGGAGGTCATGGTGTTCTCAGAGTTCTGCGCCTTGCTCATTTTGCGCAGAAGATCTTGCAATTGTTCAACTTCCTCTCGCAAATTGGCTTCACTTTGAGTGACTTTCTGCAGCTTCTGCTGCACGGAGTGAGGGTCATTCACCTTGCTCCACCCACAGGCAAGATTGAGCCCCAAAAGTGCCAATTTCAATCCTCCGACAGTAAGCGTAACAAAGCCGAGCCAAATCATGGCCTCGATGAAGGATGGCTCGAACAAGTCGCTGGAGGCCATTTCACAAAGCAACAAGGTCTGATCCACTGGATGGGACAAAACTGATTTGGAGCCAGTGAAACAGCTTCAGGAAGTTGGTGTGAGGGCACAGATAGAATACAGGCTTCACATGTAAAACTACTTACTGTTAGGATCTGTTAGGTCCCCCAACCCTGTCCTCCACCTGGACACACAGTTCTGACAGCTGTAGCCGCACACATCGGCGAGCTTAACCGTCCACTTCTTCTTGACCTGGAACACTGGAGTTTGCACCTCCTGACCAAATCGCTCTTGCATTGCCTGTCTCACCACCTGCCGAGCAGGGAATGCAGCCAGGGGATCTTTTCGACCTTCGCCCTGCTTCCACAAGGTTCTCTTCATAGGTTCGTACAAAGCTGTCCACACCTTCAGGGTCCACTTTCAATATTCTATCTATCTATGCCACCTGGGTATTAGGCGATGTACGATGTCGATCGGAGAAATAAATTCTATTTTTACAAAAATGTAATGCGCGTATTGGAATTACAAAGTCCCCCCTTATTAGTCCCCTAATCACTTTCCTTTTCGGATATCATCCAATACCTTCCCATGCTAAAGTTTATCCAATGGTGAAACTGATCCATCATGAAACTGCTCTTCTGATCCTTCAAAGTTCTCCCAAGCAACATTTTCCCACAATCCACCCAAAAAGACTCACTAGCAACATTCTGTCATTTTCCTTTACTAAAACTCTATCAACATCTTAAGGTTTTCAGGCTCACAAAGGGTACCCCTCACACAGGCCCTACCACCCTCTAACAGTAGGAGCCCCTCCCCCTATTGATCAAGCTCGCCCTTTGGCCTCCATTTTGTCTTCTATCTCCTTCATCTTGCAATCCTCTTTCTGTCCCTAATCATCCCAATCAAAGAATACTGTCTTCCAATCTCTTTCATGTCTTTCCTAATCATCCCAATCAAAGAAATAAGTCTTGTCTTCCAATCTAATCATCCCAATCATCCCAATATTCCCTCATCTTGTCATCATCTCATCATCCATCATCAGGTCATCATATTGAGGGAGGGGGGGTTGGTTGATCCTACGTCGGCATTGTTTTGTTTGTTAATGTTTGTTAGTTATAGTCAATAGATTCGGTGAAATTCCTTTGCATACATATCCTGGTTGCACACGTATGTGATATTCTATCTATGAAGTGTGCATCCCTATTCTGTGCCTCTAAAATGCTACAATCATTTCAGCCGTCAACAAGGCCTGATCCCAGTGCCAACAAGTTTTGGATTTACTCCACCCTGAGCAATGGTGAGCTTTATGAACTCCGTCACTTTTTTCACTGATGGATGATCCCGAGGAAGGTGCTTTTGAGGTTTGTCCTGGGCATAGTTGGCATATCCATTTTTTTTGCAAAAGTCCAGTGCAAGCTGGTTCAAGCTGCGCTGTGTCTCACCAATTTTGCATTCCAATGGCCAAGACTGTTTGGCCCGAATCTGCTCAGCAGCGACCTTTGCTATTTCCTCCTGTGAAGCACCAGAGGAGGCAAGCTGATCCAGAGCTGCCAGATCGGACTTTTCTCTGGCCCCCCTCCACGTAGTCACCTCGTTGTTGTAAACTGCCAAAGCATCCTTCAGAACCTCCTCCACAGAAGCGGTGTTGAGTTCCACGCCTGCTCTCACCACTTCGGACAAGACAGAGTCCACAACATCGTAGACGCCATCAGCAACTTTGTAGGATCCGTTGCCTTTACGTATTTGAATCTCAAGACGTTCTCTCAGCCAGTTTGGGGTTTCATCACAGGTCTCCGCGACCTTGGGGCAAAGCTCGGCCACTAGCTTCCATTGATACTTTTCGCAGGCTGCAGGCCACTTTGACTTGGAACCAGCCCCTTGAAAGTATCCATCTTTCCCATGCTTGGCCACCATGACCTGCCGATCGATGCAGTGATCCGTCAACAATGATGAAAAGGCACACCCGAACACAAAACAAAGCTAAAGGATTTTTGGACACTGCTTGATTTAGGGTACACATCATTGATGGTAAAATCACAAAGAAAAACAGTGTGACTGTGGGGGTGAAGCCATAGATAGAATACGAGATGACGTCAACGAACTTTCAAGTCACCTCGCCTTCTCTGGATGCTTGTGTTCACCGCTGTCCTTCAAGTCCTGTAGCTTCTGAAGCAAGTCGAGCTTTTGCTTGATAGTCAAAGTCTTGCCCTTTCCACAGCGCCCACGTTTGGATGTGCTTGATGGCTCATCTTCTGCAGGAGGGGGTGCTGAAGGGTCCCCTCCACCAACTGGCCCATCATCATTCCCGCCAGAAGCACCATCTCCAGCCTCTTCATGTGGGACCGTGGCATTCTTTTGATCGTCTCCTGACGGCTGGTTCTGGCCATTTTGTGTGCCAGCCGCAGCGGCAGCTGGAGAGGGCTCTGGCTGCCTGGAAGAACGGGCACTTGGTCCAGATGCATTGGAAGCTGCCTTGGATGATGAAAAGGAAGACAGCCGCCGCTGCTTTGACTTTGAGGAAAAACTCCCACTGTCGGTCTCAGATGGTCTCTTCAAGCCGGCAGTGCGCTCCTGTGCTGCTGCTCGGTTACGGCAATCCTTCAGCAAGGAAGCGTCGCTGTCATGGACACCTTCAAAACCAGCAAGCTTCCTCCATGGGGCAGCATTAACCTCAGGCTTGCGCAAAGGAAGAGGAATGTACTTGTACGACTGTAAAGGTGGCATATGCTATCTACTATTCCCGCAATGTGTGACAGATTCCCATTCTCAAAGCGATCTAAACACACGGAGTTTGCAATGGGCCTAGCATGGCCTAGGCTCAACAAATGATGATTGATATTCTATCTATATGATTGTTGCAACCTATTCACTAAATAGGTTTTGGTCTACATCAGCAAGGGGCGACAGAGCTCAAGACCTTCGCGATCAAAACAGTTGCGCCAAAGGCATTTCCGGCAAAGTCTCTTGCCAGGGTATCATCTTCCATCATGGAAACCACTGCTTCTGGATGAGCGAAGCCTCGACTGCCCGGAAGGCAAGGCCAAACAAAGAGCTGGCGACAGAAAGTAACAGAATAACAAAAATTAGGAACAATTCGGACAACACACAACATAACAGGAATGAAACAAACACATTTTTTTTGGCAAGCAAAGAAACTATCCGGGCATACTCCCTGAACTGCAAGCATCTCCTTACCAACCAATGTCCTACGAAGGCCACAATGATAGATCTGGTGTGTTGGTCTGCAGCAGGTGGTCATGCCATGAGCCCACTCCGGCCCCCGCAATCCACTTGAAGCAGTATCCATGCACACATTGTTGAAATCAAATCCTTTAGCTTCACAGAGCTTCTTCACAATTTTGACCTGCTGCTTGAACACATCAGCAGTCACAGGAGTCTCAGGAAGGTCAGGATCCAAGATGTCCCTCAATGGAAAACGTAGTGTGCTTTGCATTCGCTGTATTGTCAACCGCATTCGAAGCATGTATTCTGAAGGGTCTGGTTCTTCAAAAGAAGAAGATCCCCATGCTCGCATCCGCCGATGGGGAAGCAAGAACATTGAATTGCAGACCTTGGACGCCTCGAATGTGTGCCCAAACTCAGCAAAATCTTCAACAATTGTAGCAGTCGCTGGCGGTTGCGGATTGCCTTCTCCATCCTTGAGGAAATGGCACGCATCTCCAACATTCTCATAAATGCTCACGGAAGCTTTGGTCCGAAGTACTGCCTGCTTGTAGCCAAACTGGTATGTTTTGCCTGACTCTCCTGAAGCATCAGCATAGCATGCAGCATAGTCGTGGCGATCTTGGCGCTCCCCGCTCAGGTTCACGCAGCTCACCCCAGCAATCAACAGGAAAACATCTGGAATCGGAACATGTTGGCGAGTCTTCACACAGTATGCAGTTTCTTCAGTTAAGCCAGCAACATCACCAAAGCAATGTTTGATGGAGTCTCCATGGGCATTGAGAATAAACTGTTGTTTCTTTTCGTCAACCTCTGCACAGAATTCTCCAGAGACTGAGATGTCACAACCGAATCTTTGGCCAATGGCTCTAAACAGGGCCTGTGTGGCCATGACACCGGTCTCCAAACCAGAGCAGGTGGTGGCCACCTTGATCGTTTGTCCGTTCAGTCCATTTGCAATCTTGCGCAAAATGTGCAGCTCTGCCATGGAGAGCTTGTCCAAGAAATGATGGGATATGGAAACCAAATCGAAAGCAGGTAGGCGTCCCTTCATCCATGTGCTGCTCAGAGGCTGCCTCACTTAGGAAGGAGCTTCAAAACCAAACAGTAACCCAGGATTATTCAAAATACCTTCAGATAGGGTAAAGCTGTCAAAATCAAACATGTCATTCTCATGCTGACTCGGCACCCTTCTCTAGAAACTTCACTGTTAGGAATGGACCGCACCTTGGGCATGTTGCGAATGTCCTGAGCTGCTAAAGCACAGCCAAAAGGGCAAATTATATTCTATCTTTGGTTTTTCCTTAGCCTTGGCAAAAATGGGGATATGGTGATGCTAAAGTCAAAAAGGTTGGGGTCCGGTTGGGGAGGATAATCCGTCACATGGTTACTGGAGCAAACCAAAACAACATTAGACATACCTTCTAGTTTTGCCTACGCTGGATTTTGGAGGTTCCCCAGCTCTTGCATTCTATCTTTGGTTTCTGACAGCCTACTGGATGCTGACAAAGGTCTGCCTTCCAAACCAATGGTGGGTTCACCGCCTCTTTGGATTGTATCATCCACCCGTACAGTGCCTTCTCTTTGTTGCGCAAGGGTTGGAAGGTCCTTGAGTTCTCATCCAGGAGGTGCTTGTAGCCATCTGCTTCCAATTTGCGAAGGGCTTTCAAGGTTTTCAACTCCTGGACCTCGCATATCTGCAGCTGACCCACTATGATGGCAGCACCATGCTCAAAGATTGCAACATGAAGAGAACCAGTCTGAATCTTGTAGGTCTTCACAAGTAGACCCACATCGTCGTCTAGAATCCGAAAGGCTTCTCGCCTACATACACCAAGCACGCGCAAGTCTGGCTGCTGCTCTTCTGTCTCTGCTGGGTTCTCTGTGCCCTTGGTTTCCAAAGCTGCGCTCCATTGCTCTGCATCCATGTTCTGCACAAACTGTGCACCTTGCTTGATCTTGATTGGCAAAGGCCGTGTGAATGATCTAGGGTTTTCAAGGACATATGCATAGATTCTTTCCCACTTCCTGGCCAGAAGTAACAAGTTCTCCATGGGAACCTGGTGTTTTTCTATGCTTTTGTCGGCCATCACAAACACATCGGCAGCTGCTTGAGAGTCATCAAAAGGCTCCCATCTCCCATCATCTCCTTTCAGAGCAACCAGGAAGCAGCCCACAACGCTCACAAGCCCATGAACTTTTGAGTTGGACCAAATGCCCACCTCCCCTCGAAACCTCCATGGTGAGTTGCGAAGTTCCCAGGTTTTGCTTCCATTCAAAATGAGGTCATGCCAGTGTGAGTTTATAGCAATGATTTTGCTCACGCCCTTGAGGTCCTCCAAAGTTGGCTCAAACGATGCTGTGGACTGAGCATGATCCGGCTTTCCTTGCTCCTGCTCACGCTGTTCTTGCTGTGGCTGCTTGTCCTGCATTACCTCATGCCCAGGTTCCTGATGTTGTTGTTCTTGCTGGTCTTCCGGCTTGCTCTCGTGCTTGCCCTGCTGATCATCATGCAAAGGCTCATGGTCCGGTTTTGCTTGCTTGTTCTCATGCTGCTCCTTGCTGAGTGTTCTCCTGAGTCTGATCGTTCCAGTAGCTGAAGGCACCAAAAGGTCATAATGCCCAGAAGTGGGTTTGCCTGAACCATCAAGCAAAAAAGTGAACCAAAGATGTCCTCCAAATGGATCAGCAGTGTTGCCATAAAGGGCGCCCGGCTTGAAGCTGGTGGTATGTTCAAGCACCTTCGCCGGGCAATTTGGTTTGAGGGAACCAAAAGATGGAATACCGTAAAACTATGTTGTCCCTCTCTGTCTTTGCTACAGCAATGGTCGCTGCAAAATAACTATATACTATATACTGTACATCATTTTGCCTGTCTCTTTCACAAAACCTCAAGATAGAATATCCACCATGGTCCCGTGAATGCTGTACATGAAATGCTCTGGCCTTCGGGTCCACGGTGATTCGAAAGTGAGCTTTCATTGCAGTGGCTACCAGCTCCACGTCCTTGACATCAACCATGGACTTTGTCAGGTCTACAGGCATGCCAGCGTTCTTGACCTCTTTTTCCACCTCTTCCCAGAGGCGCTTTGCCCGTCGAACCTCCTCCAACAATCGCTGTGGATCTTTCGGGCCACCACCTGGATTGCGTGGAACGTTGATGTAGTCGGCGTGCAGTGAATAAAAGAGGAAGCAGTGCCAAAAGCAACGTCCATCTCCCAGAATGGATACCTTTTTGAACATACCCATAGCTTCACACTCTGGATCAGGCTGAGCAGTTGCCGTTCTCTCTCTCACATTCTTGTGGAAATGCTCCTGAACCTTTGACTGCATTGTCTCCATCAAGGATGGCTTGGAAATAGCAGACTCGACATGGAACGTCTCTCCATCAACTCTGCGGACAATAGTGCCCAACTCGACCTCCTCAAAGATCGAGCTGCTGCTGCTGCTGCTGGAGCTCTTTCCAGTCCACGCCCGCAGCTCACCTGTAACAGTGCTGTATCCGACAACTGCTGCAACGGACTTTGGCACCTCTTCACGCAGCTTTTGCAGTTTGGATTTGTGCGCATCAGATAGCTCTGGAGTTGCAGCATCGGCTGTGCACCGGATGAAGCCAATGTGTTGCAAATCCAAATCAGACGCCTTCTGCTGCACAGCTTCCAAAGCACCATCTTCACCTGCATGTGTCAAAATCAGTGTGACTCGCCAGCCCAAGAGTTTGTGGCACCATCCCAGGAGCTCACCCAGAATGTGTTTTTTGGATCCAAGAACCAAAAGCTCTTCCAGAGAGCCTTTGTGCACACGGATGCCAGCTTCTGGTTTTGTTTTTTTTGGCTCTTGATACCGGGAAAACATAGATGCCCATACATCCTGGCCGTCCTTGGACTGGTACTGGTAGTGTGGGTCCTCCTCAGGTGTGAACACACCCTTTCCTGCCAGGATTTGATCATAAGCTTCCTGCGTAGCCTTGCGATGCGCTGCAGCCTTCTGAATGATTGAGATGTGCCCCTTCAATTTGCCAGCTGTCTCCAATGAATGCACAAGATCAGCCCAATGCTCTGCATCAGCTTTCAGTTTGAATTCTTTGACTATCATTTGGTCACCAACCTGAACTGATGCCTGAAAGACGCCCTTGTGCTCGTTGTACTGAATGTTGACACCTTTGGACTTGTTTGCTTGCTCTGTGTCTGCCCCAATCTGTTTACGAAAGCATGCCCGCAGCTTCTCCTCAATCTCCTTGATCTCTCCGGAGAACATGGCCTGCCCAAAGCCGCTGCAAACTTGGTAGATAGAATATCATCTGCCTATGTTTGAAACCTACAAATTGAATCATTATCATTGGAACAGTGTTTTTTTAAAATACACGTGCGCCCTGGGTTTAATGCAACCTTCAAAGGGTGGGCTGGCTCATATATTCGATCTTTCGATTACATAAGCACTTGCATTGCTTTAAACAAATGCATCTTTAGTTTCATGCAACCCCATGGGAATTTAAGGCGAAACTAAGAAAAGGGTGTGCCAGTGAATATTCTATCTATAGATTGCACGAGCAGTACCATTGCTTTGCACAAGTGCATCTTTATTTTCATGCAACCCCATACAAATGCAAGGTGAAACTTAAAAGGTGAGCCAGTGTGTATTCTATCTAAAGATTGAACAAGCAGAGCTGGCCTCTTCCAAAAGGTCACGCATAGCGGCAATCGTCGTTCTAGAACCCTTGACAGAAATACCATGGGCAGAGAGCCAACTCAGCTTGTCCTTCTTGCTTTCCAAACTGAACTCAAAGTGCCTAACCATCTCTGCGGCGGCGTGGATGAACTCTGTTGCCACGCTGTGTGCGACCTTTGCCCATTGCCAAGCGTCAAAGGAAAACTTGCGGGTGGCATTGGAGGCATTCTTTACACTGATGAAGTTCTTGTGCGCCTTTATTGGAAAAATGCCCGGAGCCTTCTTTGCTGAGCTGCTGCTGTCATGCTTGCTTGAGTCATCCTTCGCTGCTTCTGTTTTGCTGTTGTGGTGTGCAGCATTGCTCGAGTTTGCTGTCTTTGTTTTCTTGCTAGCCGGCTCAGTGCTGCTTGTTGCTGATTCTGAAGGCTTCGGTGTGTCAGTTTGTGGCTCTGGTTTGCTTGCTGTTGCAGCTTGCTTGCTGTCTTGTGGTTTGCTTGCATCTGTTGAAGCTGACTTTGATGCATTGTTTTGTTTCTTCTTCAAGTTGTCCTTCTTGACAGTCTTTGCATTTGCTTTGGCGATGCTTGTTCTCTGAGGACCTCTCTTTTGTTGAAGCTTTTGCTTCAGCAATTGTTTTCGTTTCTCCTCTGCGTGTTTTTTCTGCGCTTCAGACGCAGCTGCTAAAAGCCTGGCATCAACCACTTTGCGAGTTTTCTCATCTCGCAGTATTTGCCATGCTTGGTTGACTTTTTGCATGGCTTGGCATGCTTCACTGTTGGGATTCTTGTCTGGGTGCACTGCTTTTGAAGTGCTTGCAAACGCCGCTTTCAGGGTTGAGGATGGCAAGCTTGCCAGCACTGACAACCTCCGAACCTTTTGATCTGGCTTCTCATCTGGAGCTGGAAGAGGTTCAACTCCCAACCTGGGCTGGCAAATATATATTCTATCTATCTATGCCACCTGGGTATTAGGTGATGTACGATGT